GATATGATAGAGTAGTATTCGACAATGGGAAAAAATGGATTCTGACCTTGGGGAAGGGACAGAAAGGGGTGTAATGTTAAATACGCGCCCGTGGCTAGGCTGTTCTGCTATACATGGTTTCAGGAACAAGACGCTGGGTGTTATAAAGTCTGTGTTATGAAGAGAGAGAAGGGCGTCAGCAGCAGAACAAGGACATCGGAAGAGGGTAAAGCAACACACCCAAAACACAGATCTAAGTTCACGTCCACTCATTTGCTGGGACCTCCTAGTAAAAATGCGCCAACCACAGCGTGACTCTACACAGGCTAAAAAGAGTCAATGCCAGAAAATAAAATAATGTCTTTGGTATACACCAGTTCAAACACAAAAGTTAGCGTGAGGAGCATAGTGGTGGTGGCTTCAGAAAATTATGTTTACATATATATGTAATAACTGTGTGTGTGTGATATAATATATAATTATGTGTTCCTCTTCAGGATTTGAAAATGACGTCGCTGATTTCAACCAGAAAAGTAGACCAATCCTCGACGAAGACTGGGGACTATCTTTATTCAAGCTTTTGAGATGCAACCTGCTTGGAAGCATGCCTTTACAAGGTTGCGGTGTAAATGGGGCAAGAACGCACTCTGGCCTGGCGATACTCCCTAGCCCCCTCATGAGAAGCATCGATATGGATAGCCTTCCAACTGTTCTGTTCCCTACAACATAATATTTCTATTAATTATTAAGAAGGATGTGGAAACCTTCTCAACGAAAGTGGCAGAACCTGGATCCAGGCTGAGTACTTATGCTTTCCTGAAAATGTAAAACAAGAAAAATACTCAATAGAGAGGAATTTCGGCATGATCCTTCAGGCCCACATTATCAGCAGGGAAAGCGTGACGCTGCAGTACCATGGCTATTTAACCATGGTCTGCTAGGTTGGATTCAATCTAGAGCAAATCACCTCCCAGGTAATGAGGTGATGAGTTTCAGGCGTCGACACTGGAAAAAGAAATTATTTTGCTCTACCATATCACGCTCAGACAGTATACAAAGTGTAGGAGAGAAGTTTTAGGCAAGGCATAAAGACGATAGGTAAAGACTCACAGTGAAAGCGCTGCATTCGTGAGACATTGAAGACTCGGTGGGAGCACGATATGCTGTTCCACCCAATAACCCAAGGAGGCTTATCCCGCCCGGGCGCGGTGCTCACGCCTGAAATCCCAGCCACTTGGGAGGCCAGAGGCCGGAGGATCACAGAGGTAGGAGTCGGCATGCAACATGGTGAACCTGTCTCTACTAAAATACAAAAAAAAAATTAGCCAGGCATAGTGGCGGAGTCGTTGCGGAGCTGAGGGGGGAAGGGGGATTTGGGCGAGATCACGCTAACTGGCACTCCCAGCCTGGGACCAGTGAAGCTCTGTCTCGGGGGAAAGAAAAACAAAAAAAAAAAAAAGCCTATTCTAATAAAATTAAGGGTTCCACAGTGGTGGAAGAAGTACAAGAGTCACAGTGTGACTGTCATCACTGTCGTAAGAGCGAAGAGATTCTGTCAAAGCTTTACAGATGAATGGACTTCTTCAAGCTAGTAGTCAGTTTCTTGGGCACATGAAAAGATCAGAACCAGATTAGATGGTGGGACAATGTAGAAGAGGCTCAACCCTGGATGGATGGACTGTGACTATTCTAAATATTTTGGTAACCCCAAATGCGCAGGCTCCCATCAGCCATCTGAGTAATATATGTACATGTAACCTTAATAAATAGCAGGTAGATTCACATTGGAAGGCTTTTGAGATTGGCCCGTTTGACCAACGCTCCAGAAGAGGCTTGTCGTGTTCCACAGAATCGCCGCCATGGGCACTGGCATAGCAGGGCACTTGACACTCTGCTGCTCCAGGGTTACTGTGGGGGGCTGCAAAACTCCATCCTGTGCACTAAAGATGCCCAGCCTACTCATCATAATCAACCATCTCACCAGGATGTTCAGTGAGTCTTCAGGATGCCCGTCACACACATTCTCAAGTCCCACTTTGAAGTCTTGAAATCACGCATCTGCTACATTCTACAGACCCGCGGGGGCTGTCTCTGACCTTATTTCTCATCTACCAAGGAACGTGCCTTGACAGGATCCTTGCCATTGCTTTTCGCATGGTCCACCATGGAAAACATCTCTGTGTGGCCAAGGGCAGTGCCTCTTTGGCGTCAAAAAATCCCAATACCTTGAAATTTTAATGCAGAGTAGGGTTCCTGGGCCAGAAAGTAAGAGGGAGACCTTCCGCTCCACTGACCTGCAGCACTGCTTGTACCAGAGCGTTTCAGACAGGGTCATCTAAAAGCAGAATATTTACTTCTGACCTTGACTCCTCTTCTCCCAGCAAGTTCCCACCCCCCACTCGGAAACTAAGTTAGGAAAACATGACCCTTCCGATCCCTTCTGCCTACTTTGGTTCTCTCTTTTTGGTCGAACCTCACCAACAAGAAACTAAAAACCCTTCTTATATCCCAGCAATAAGACAAAAATCTCCAAATGGCAACACTAAGCCATCAGAGAAGAACTTTTCGACAAGCCTGTGAGGCAGGGACACAGAACGACGGTACCTGACTCTGGATCCCTGCGGCTGCTGTAACAAATCATCCAGGCCACTAGGTTGGCGCCCTCAGTGACAATGAACCATGAGGTACATCCAGGGCCAAGACTGGTGAATAGAGGGTGCAGCTGGCCCTGGTGGTCCCTCAGTGCGCATACCTGTACTTCCTCAACAGAAATGGAAGCCCACCAGAAATGTGGTGGAGTCCCGGCTTCCTTATGCTCAACCATTGGTGGAGGCAGAGCTACTTTTTCCGCCCAGAGATCTGGTATTGTTTGTGGAAAAGTGGTGACCTAATCCTCACCCAATTGAAGGCTTTTAAGCACCTTAGAGAGGTCCTTAGAGTGCCTGGAATCATTTAGGGAATCCCAATCAAGCTGGTCCCAGGTCTAAACATCTGGCCAGAGGACCCCATATTTTGCGCCTTTCTCCGTACATGGTCATTCTGCTAACATGGCCTGGACACCTAAGACTTCAGAGCCATCTAAGATTAGAAGCGTTGCCAACCAGCTCCTAGAGCATTTGCCACTCCTCCAGGCTTTGGATGCCAGTGAAGCAAAAAAAAAAAAAGGCCAACCTGCAATAGGGAGGTAGTGATAAAGAGCATAGGGTCCTTAGACAAATGCAGACTGTTCAGCCTTCTAGTTTAAGACAGTGGATGTAATTTTACATCGGTTCTCATGTTCTTTGACTTAAAGCAAGTGGTTACCAATTTTCTTTTTTTTACAAAAGGTCAGAGAATAAATATTTGAGAATATGGGTACAATGTGTTTTCCGTCAACATCCTCTTTTTCATTTACTTATTTATATTTTTATTTATTTATTTTAAGAGAGTCTTGCTCTGCACCTCGGCTGCAGTTGCAGTGTGGCCGATCTCCAACTCACTGCAACCTCTTGCCTCTCGGTTCAACGAGTCATGCCTCAGCCCTCTCCAAGTAGCTGGGGTTACAGCCAGATGCCACCATGCCTGGGCTATTTTTTTTTTTTGTATCTTTGTAGAAGCGCGGGGTTTTGCCACCGTTTGCCAGGCTGGTCTTGAACACTCCTGGCTCTAAGTGATCTGTCTGCCTTTCTCCCCAAAGTGCGGATATAGGCATGAGCCCACAGGCCCAGCCTTCTTGTTTAACTTTTTTAATTCTTTTTTAACAATGCAAAAATCATGCGACGCCCGGCGCCAGGGGCGGGTTTGGCTGCCTGCTGCTGTACTCTTGTCACACCCTGGCTTCAAGCACTAGGGGAATGAGAGGTTATCATGGAAGGCACGACTAGAAGCAGAGTAATTGGTATATCCATAATATAACGAAGTCCCACCATCGCCCTCATCTCAAGAAAAGATCACCAACGAAAGAAACACAGTCAGGAGCCAGAAGATAATTACAACACCATTTCCACATCTTGAGTTTTCTGCTCAGGAAACCACTGAGGATCAGGGCAGCTGAATGCACTGGAACATAGGTCTTCAGAGCAAAGCTTAGTCATTCAACCGCCATTCTCAGGCAACCCTGCTCTCAGAAACTATTGTCCTTGTTCGATTTCCAAATTTTAAGCCTTCGAATTCTCCCCAAAAACATCCAGCCTTACTTAGCAACCTTCTTCTGTTCCACATCATAACCTCTTTCTGTTCTACGGTCATTTTTTTTTTTTTTTTTTTTTTGAACCAGTCTACCTCTGCTTGCCCATGCGTGGAGTGCAATGGCACGATCTTGGGCATCACTTGGCTCCACCTGCAAACCTCTGCCTCCCAGATTCAGCGCAATTCCGCGCTCAGCCTCCTGAGTAGCTGGGATTACAGCCACGCCCCACCCATGCCCAGCAATTTTTGAATTTTTAGTAGAGACGGGTCTTTACACATCTTTCGGCCAGGCAGGTCAGAAGATAAATCATCTGCTTTTATGAGCCAATGAAAAAGAGGATGTGACAGAAAACACATGTACCCATATTCTAAAATATTTATTCTCTGACCTTTTGTAAAAAAAAAAAAATTGGAACCCTTGCTTTAAGTCAAAGAACATGAGAAACACGATGTAAAAGACCTAGAACAGAAAGAAGGTGATGATGGAACAGAAGAAGTTGCTAAGTAAGCTGGATGTTGGGGAGAATTCGAAGGGCTAAAATTTGAGAATGGGAACAAGGAAATAGTTTCTGAGAGCAGGTGCCCTGAGAATGGCGGTGATGCTAAGCTTGCTCTGAAGACATGTTCCGGTGCATTCAGACTGCCCTAATCCCTCAGTGTTTCCTGGAGCAGCAAAATCAAGATGTGAAATGCTTGTAATTACTTTCTGGCTCCTGGACTGTGTTTCTTCGATTGTGATGCTTTTCTGAGATGAGGCCATGTGGGACTTCAGTTATATTTAGGATATACCAATACTCTGCTTCTAAGCGTGCCTTCCATGATAACCTCTCATCTCCACCTAGTGCTTGAAGCCAGGGGGTGACAAAGTACAGCAGCAGGCAGCCAAACCCGCCCAAGTCTGGCCCGTGGCGTCAGTGCATGATTTTTGCATTTAAAAAAAGAATTAAAAAAAAGTTAAAAAGAGGGCTGGGCACTGTGGCTCATGCCTATAATCCCAGCACTTTGGGAGAACAAGGCAGACAGATCACTTGAGGCCAGGAGTTCAAGACCAGCCTGGCAAATGTGGCAAAACCCCCGTCTCTACTAAAAATACAAAAAAAAAAAAAAATTAGCCAGGCATGGTGGCATCTGCCTGTAACCCCAGCTACTTGGGAGGCTGAGGCATGAGACTCGCTTGAACCCGAGAGGCAGAGGTTGCAGTGAGTTGAGATCGCACCACTGCACTCCAGCCGAGGTGACAGAGCAAGACTCTCTTAAAAATAAATAAATAAAAATAATAAATAATAAAATGAAAAAGAGGATGTGACAGAAAACACATGTACCCATATTCTAAAATATTTATTCTCTGACCTTTTGTAAAAAAAAAAAAATTGGAACCCTTGCTTTAAGTCAAAGAACATGAGAAACACGATGTAAAATTACATCCACATGTCTTAAAACTAGAAGCTGAACAGTCTGCATTTGTCTAAGACCCTATGCTCTTTATCCTACCTCCTTATTGCAGGTTGGGCCATTTTTTTTTTTGCTTCACTGGCATCCAAAGCCTGGAGGGAGTGCAAGCTCTAGGAGCTGGTTGGCAACAGTTCATAATCTTAGATGGCTCCTAGAAGTCTGAGGTGTCCAGGCCATGTTATGCAGAATGACCATGTACGGAGAAAGGCCAAATATGGGGTCCTTGGCCAGATGTTTTCCAGACCTGACAGCTTGATTGGATTTCCTAAATGATTCCAAGGCACTCTAAGGACTCTCTAAAGGTGCTAAAAAGCCTTCCATTGGGGAGGATCTAGGGTCACACTTTCTTCCACAAAACAATCACCCAGATCTCTGGAGACGGTAAAAAGTAGCTCTGCCTCAATGGAAGCATAAGAGAGCCGGACTCCACCCAGTTCTGTGGCTCCCATCTTCTGTTGAGGAAGTACAGGTATGCGCACTGAGGGACCACCATGGCCAGCCTGCACCCTCTATTCACAGTCCTTGGCCTGGATGTACTCATGGATTCATGTCCACTGAGGGGCCACCTAGTAGCTGGATGATCTTACAGCAGCCGCAGGGGATCCAGAGTCAGGTACTCTCTCTGGTCCCTGCTCCCCAGGCTTGAAAAAGTTCTTCTCTGCATGAGCTTATGTCCATTGGAGATTTTGCTTTTGCTTGGGGATAAAGGAAGGGTTTTAGTTTCTTGTTGGTGAGATCACCAAAAAGAGAGAAACAAAGTAGGCAGAAGGGATCGGAGGGTCATGGTTTTCCTACTAGTTTCCATGGGCTGGGCTGGAAACTCTGCTGAGAAGAGGAGTCAAGGTCAGAAGATAAATCATCTGCTTTTATGAGCCCTCTGAAACTCTGGGTACAAGCAGTGCTGCATCAGTGGAGGGAAGGTCTCCCTCTACTTCTGCCCAGAACCCTACTCTACCATAAAATTTCAAGGATTGGAATTTTTGAACCCAAAGAGGCATGCCCTTGGCCCACACAGAGATGTTTTCATGGTGGGACCATCAGAAGAAAAGCAATGGCAAGACTCCTTCAAGCACCGTTCTTGGTAGATAAAATTGAAAGGGGGTCTGTAGATATGTAGCAGATGCCGTGATTTCAAAGACTTCAAAGTGACTTGAGAATGCTTGTGAGGCATCCCTTGAAGACTCCTGAACATCTCTGGTGGAGAGGGACCTATATGATGAGTAGGGCTGGGCATCCTTAGTGCACGGATGGAGTTTCAGCCCCACAAGTGACCTGAGCAGCAGAGTTTCAATGAGCCCTGACAGATAATGGCATGCATGACCATTCTGTGGACACAGACAAGCCCTTTCACTGGAATTGGATCAAACGCTTGGAGAGGGGAATCTCAAAAGCCTTCCAATGTGAATTACGGTATTTATTAAAGGTTACATGTACATATATACTCAATGGCTAATGGAGCCTGCCGCATTTGGGTTACCAAATATTCTAGAATAGCACAGATCCATCCATCCAGGGTTGAAGCCTCTTCTACAATTGTCCCACCCATCACAGATCCTGTGTCTGAATATTTTCAGTGCCCAGAAACTGAACTACTAGCTGAAGAAGTCCATTCAATCTTAAACAGCTTTGACAGAAATCTCTTTCCTCTACTGAACCAGTATGACAGTCACACTGTGACTTCTTGTAACTTCTTCCACCAACTAGTGGAACCCTTAAAATTTTATAGAATAAGCTTTTTTTTTTTTTTTTTTCTTTCCCCGAGACAGAGCCTCACTGTCCCCCAGGCTGGAGTGCAGTAGCGTGATCTCGGCTCACTGCAAGCTCCACCTCCCGGGTTCAGGCCATTCTCCTGCCTCAGCCTCCCGAGTAGCTAGGACTACAGACGTCCGCCACTATGCCTGGCTAATTTTTTTTTTTGTATTTTTAGTAGAGACAGGGTTTCACCTGTCAGCCATGATGGTCTCGATCTCCTGACCTCGTGATCCGCCCGCCTCGGCCTCCCAAAGTGCTGGGATTACAGGCGTGAGCCACCGCGCCCGGCCCAGAATAAGCCTCTTGGTTGATTGGTGGAAGACATATCATGCTCCACCGAGTCTTCATGTCTCACGATGCAGCGCTTTCAGCTGTGCAGTCATTTACCTACTCGTCATCTATGCCTTGTCCTAAAACTTCTCCTCCATACACTTTGTACTACCTGATCTGAGCGTGATATGGTAAGAGCAAAAATCTTCTTTTTCCAGTGGTCGACGCCTGAAACCTATCACTCATTACCTGGGAGGTGATTTGCTCTAGATTGAATCAACCTAGCAACCATGGTTAAATAGCCATGGTACTGCACGGTCACGCTTTCCCTGCTGATAATGGTGTGGCACCTGAAGAGATCACTGCCGAAATTCCTCTTAAAAGTATTTTTACATTGTTACATTTTCAGGAAAGCATAAGTACTCAGCCTGAGAATCCCAGTTCTGCACACTTTCTTGAGAAGGATTCCCACATCCTTCTCTAATAGATTAATAAGAATAATTAATAGTTGCAGGAACAGAACAGTTGGAAAGGTATCCATATCATCCTCTCATGAGGGCTAGGGGAGTATCCAGGACAGAGTGGTTCTTGCCCCATTTACACAAACCTTAAAGGCATGCTCCAAGCCAGGTGCATCATCAAAAGCTTGAATAAAGATAGTCCCCAGTCTTCGGTCGAGATCTTCTACTTTCTGGTTAAATTCAGCGACGTCATTTTCAAAATCCTGAAGAGACACCATATATATACATATATATATACACACACACACACACACATATATATACATATATATGTAAAACATAATTTTCTGAAAGCCAACCCCACTATGCTCCTCACAGCTAACTTTTGTGTTTGAACTGGTTATACCAAAGAATTATTTTAATTTTCTGGCATGACTTAACTTTTAGCCATGTAGAGTCACCCTGTGGTTGCAGCATTTTTACCTAGAGGGTCCCAGCAAAATGGTGGAGTGAATTAGATGTGAGTTTGGTGTTCTTCTACCCTTTCCATGCTCCTCTGTTCTGCTTCCTGAAGCCCCTTCTCTCTCACTCATAACACCAGCTCTTATAACACCAGCTCTTGTTACCCTGAAAACCATTATAGCAGCAACAGCCCTAGCAACGGGGCTATTTCAACATTACCACCCACTTTCTTCCCTTCCCCAAGTCAGAATTCCATTTTTCCATTGTCAGCAAACTAATCTAACCATTAGGAGGAAAGAAAGCTAATTAAACTAATACAAACTATTTCTTCTAAATCCTTCTTAATTGGTGAAGACAGCAACTAGCCTTGTTCTTAAGATTGCCAAATTTAGCAAATAAAACTACAAGGCACTCAGTTAAATTGGAATTTCAGATAAACAAGAATTTTTTTTTTTTTTTAATATGTCCAAATTAGTGTAGTTTATCTGGCAACCCTAATGTATTTCTCTTAGGATGTAGCAATTTTCGGAGAAACACTGTTAACGCCAATCTCTAATTTGTGGAATTATTTGTTATTACTGCTTTGTAACAGTAATGCATGTGTGTGTGTGAAAAAAAAAAAGGGTATGAAGAAATAGTCTAGTCCTACTTCCCAAACATGATGACATTGTGGTATGTTTCTTTTTAGTTTTTAGTTTTTACCCTGGGCAAAATCTCTGGGATTACGCTTTGTTTTATTGTATCATAGGGTAGCAAATACATTGTATATAGCCTGCTCTGTGGTCCACCTTTTTTTTCTTTTTTTTTTGAGACGGAGTCTCGCTCTGTCGCCCAGGCTGGAGTGCAGTGGCGCGATCTCGGCTCACTGCAACCTCTGCCTCCCGGGTTCAAGCAATTCTCCTGCCTCAGCCTCCCAAGTAGCTGGATTACAGGCCCACACCACCACTCCCAGCCAATTTTTTGTATTTTTAATAGAGATGGGGTTTCACTGTGCTAGCCACGATGGTCTATGGTCCACCTTTTTTGGGTCTACTTTTGACTCATAGAATTCTTAGACGGCAGTACCTTCCTGGGTCTGGCCAAATAAGATTCCCCTGGATGTCTGAAGGTGCTCGGGGCAGATTCCTGCCCTAATTTCTTTCTCCTTTTCCCGCACACACTCTTAAAACTCCTTCTCCAGTAATTCTGCCATTCCTTTTTCTGGGAATTCCATTCTCTGTTTTCATACTGGCCCTTTTCCTTCTTTTTTTCTCCCATGGGTGTGGACTCACAGGTTGAGGCTTTCTTGGGGCTACAGGTGAGATGCGGGCTCTTTGTTCCTGTCCTGGAAAATGCTTCACTGGCCCTTTCCTTATCCTATGTGTTCTGCTGGGAACCAGGTTCAGATCAGAAAATCCAGGCTGTGGCTTCACTTACACCTCCCCAAGTCACTAAAAAAATTCTGCCCAGGTGTGCCTGTTCTTCCCTTAGCAATTTTTGCCCAGAGCTTAAAACTTCTTTCCCACTCAGTTTTATTAAGTTAAATTGACAAATAAAAATTGTATATACTGTGAAATGATCACCACTATCAACCTAATTAACATATTCATCACGTCACACAGTTACCATTTGCTTTTTGTGTGGGTGGTGAGAACACTTAGGATCTACCCTTTTAGTGAATTTCAAGTATGCAAAACAGTTTTTCTTTTTTTAAAATTATTTTACTGTTAGTTCTGGGATACATGTGCAGAATGTGCAGGTTTGTTACATAGGTATACATATGCCATGGTGGTTTGCTGCACCTATCAACCTCTCATCTAGGTTTTAAGCCCTGCATGCATCATTTGTCCTAATGCTCTCCCTCCCTTTGTCCCCCAACCCCTGACAGGTCCCAGTGTATGTTGCTCCCCCCCCTGTGTCCATGTGTTTCTCATTGTTCAACTCCCACTTATGAGTGAGAGAGCAAAGCAATACAATTTTTTTTTTTTGAGACGGAGTCTCCCTCTATCGCCAGGCTGGAGCGCAGTGGCGCGATCTTGGCTCACTGCAACCTCCGCCTCCCAGGTTCAAGCAATTCTCCTGCCTCGGCCTCCTGAGTAGCTGGGACTACAGGCGGCTGCCATCACGCCTGGCTAATTTTTGTATTTTTAGTAGAGACGGGGTTTCACCATGTTAGCCAGGATGGTCTCAATCTCTTGACCACGTTATCTGCCCGCCTTTTCCTCCCACAGTGCTGGGATTACAGGCATGCGTCACCACGCCCAGCCCACAATACAGTGTTGTTAACTGTCTTCACCATGTTGTACGTTAGAGCTCCGGCAATTATTTATCATGCATAACTGAAGCTTTATACTCTTTGACCACCACCTTCCCATTTGTCTCTTCCCCAGCCCCTGGCAGCCACCATTCCACTCTGCTTCTATGGCTTTGACTATTTTGGACGCCTCGTATAGGTGAGACCGTGCAACATTTGTCTTTCTGGATCTGGCTTCTTTCACTGAGCTTAAAACTTCTGAAGCCACAGGGTGGCCACAACCTCCACTGTCAGGTCATACCCACCTCAGCATCTCTGAAACCCTGGTGTCATTAGTCTGGAGCAGTTAACAGTTGGAAAAGGCCTCCTTGATCTTTCTCCCAACACAAAGAATAATTAGAATCTTTCTCTTGGCACAAGGAATAATAATTTCTCCTAACACAAAGGGTAATTAGCAAACCCACTGGGACCACAGAGCCGAAGGAAATACACAGGGAAAATACAAGTAAATGCCTAGACCCTACAGGTGAGAGGCATCTGGGACAGAGGCAGAGCTGGTGATTCAGCCCTTCCCAACCCTACCGTGCTTTGGAGGTACAGGCAGTCGGAGGAGGACCCTGAGAAAAGCCTGTACATCTCGTGAAATTCCTCATGCATTTGCTGGACCTGCTGACTCAGGGCATTCCCTCTGATGCCGCTGAACTCCACCTTTCCCAGTTTGTGGAAATCCAGGGCCGTCTTCAGAAGACCCTATGGGGACAATTCACAAAAGAGTTAAAATCACCATCATCATCACAACAGTGGATGAGAAAAGTTGGAAACCTGGGGGCGGTGGTTGCTTAGGAAATTGTGGAGCCTGATTAGTTTCGTAACCTTATTATTAGATTGGATTGGTAAAAATAACTCTTGTTTAAACTCGATAACAAAGCAAAGAGAAAGTACAGTCAAATAAATTCATGCGAACCAAAATAAATATATACATACATAAATAAGTGAAATGTATGCTTCCACCTCTCTATGTCTTTGTGGTCTTTAACAAATAATAATAAAACTATTTGTATAACTGGTAGCTTTATCGCTGATTTCTCTAAAATAGCTCATTTCAAATGGATCATGTTATCCAGTTCTAGAATGACAGCAATCCTAGGGGATGTTGACAGGAAAGCAGAGTCGCAAAATAGTCCTGAAGACATGCCCAGAGGGTGACACTGGCCTTCTTTGCAACTTCTCTGCCAAGCAAAGACATCTTGCTGGGTGTGCATGGGATGTTATGCCCTGCTGCCAGCCGGGTGGCGGCAAGTAGTTATTTACCAGCTCTGTGCTGCGCTTCTTCATCTGCTGCAGAATAATAACAACACCTTGTAGCATGATGCTGAGTGTTAAGTCAGTTAACTCAAGCCTGGGATTTAGGCCAGGTCTGCACACACAGTATCACCGCTGTTATTGATGTGGCAGTGTCCCAGGTGTGCTTGAGGTCCAATGACAGGTGGACAGCACAACCCAGAAGCCCTGGGGAGGAGCCCCTCCTAAGTCCATGGAAGCTACTTCACCTCCGATAGGATGGGAGCTTCCTCTTGAACACGTCTAGCAGGACAGATTGAATTTATCTCTTGTGAGTACCTAAACATCACAAAACCTCCAAAACAAGATACGGTTCTTGTCATGACTTCCAATCCATGTGCATGCCCCTTAGGCAGGAAAGAGGACGGCAAAAGTTCCCTTTGTGTCATTTTGGCCAACATTTGGTGTGGACTGTGGGAGGGACCCTCTACTCTGGAGGTTTAAGGGGTGCACTACGACACCGATGCTGTAAAATCCAGCAGGTCCTGGTATCACCGCAGGAAATCTCACTGCCCATGGCCGCTGCTGTGGGTAACCCATCAGGCTAGCACAGGCTGCCTGTCTCCTTTCTCCTGCTGGGACGCCAACTCCAGCAGCAGTGACAGAGGCGCTGGGAAGTGGGGACAATGGCTGACTTTCCCCGTTTGGCCAGGAGGGTCCCCATGCAGATTTGGGCAGCCATCTAACAAGCCTGTTTTTGTTCAGCTGTGTTTGGGCATGGCTGGTGGCAAGCAGCTGAAGTGGGAGGGGAGAGAAGAGGGAAGACACCAGCCAAGGCAGGGAAGACAGATGCCAAAACCAGGGAGGGACTTTTGCCACTAATGGTGGGAAAAGTGGCAGTCTTTCTTTAAAAATAGGTTCAACTTGATATACTGGGAAGAAAACCGAAATGAACTTTATGGAAATGAAATTGACTTCAGTAGTAATTCAAGTCTCTCGGAAAGTGCTTAGTTGTAATTGGTTTTATAGGGAGAGTCATACTTGTGCTGTGAAATGCAACCTTGGTACTCATTCTTCATAATTCTGTGGATGTCAATTTCAATTTCTAGGAAATACTTCCTAACCATTTTAAAAGGGAGATGCATTTTGATATGTTTGATTACATCAGAAACCCAGACGATAATTTTGTTAGACTATTTTATTTCTCAAGAATACTTAAAGCACGGTCTAGGGAGGTGACAGGAAAGTGTTTCATCTTCAGTTTTTCCTAGGTATTAGTGAAATATTTATTGAACCATCCTACTTTTGGAGAAAGTCTGGTCACTTAAAAAGAGGGATACTTACATTGTTTTATGTAACTTAACACACACATGGTGGACAACACTTTTATCTGGTGCTCAACTCAAGGTCTTAGGCCTTTCCTCACCCTTCCATGGAAAGAGATCCACCCATCCAGCTTTTTCCCAAACTCTCTATCCCCTTCTTCTGCTTATTCAGAGCGCTTATCACACCCTGGAATTATATTATTTGGCATTATATTATACTATTTGCTTATTTTCTGTCCAGTAAGTTGTAAATGCCCCAAAGGTACCTCGGCATTTCCAGTGCCTGGAAGAGGCCCTGACCCTGAACGCATATTTGTTGAGTGAAGTAATATATGCTCTTTGTTCTTTGACTTGGCTATAATACTTCCAAAAAAAAAAAAAAAAAAAAAAAAGCAAGAAGGTGATAGAGGAGCTAGGCGCCCTAACCTCTGAAGAGCAGTTGGTGAAAAAAAAAATAGACAAGAGAAGAGAATTATAAAGAAGGACATTTCAATGTCCACAGGACCACGGTCAAGTGCAAGGGGGAACCCTCCCTGGTGCTACACTGAGGGCAGAATAAAGGAAATGAGTGAATGGGACAAAGAAGCAGATGTGACCTCACTGTACAGGTTGAACTTATTACATTGCTGATATGGGATCATTTCAACCTAAAAATTGCCCATTTCCTGTGGTTTCATTTAATAAAACACAATCATCTAATGCTGTAGAATGGGCTATGAAGAGAGGGAGTGAGCTCTCCATCACTGAACGAGTTTTAGTAAGTTTGATGTTGGAGGCATTGTAGACAAGGTTTCTGAAGCAGCTGGGAAACTGTCTTACAACTATAGACACCAGATTTATGGCATTGACCATGGTTATATCTTTGATTAGCCTTTAATCTTTGATTTAAGAATCAAAATATTTCGATTCTTAAATTATGTAAATGGAAGCTCTTTTCATTGTTTATTTCAAAGTTCTCACAAAACAGATAAGAGGCAATTTAAATCAATAAGAGGTTTAAATGATAGTTTTTAAATATCTGTTTTTATTCATCACAGTACTAAACACGAAATTCATCATGTTGCATACAGGCTGAAGTATCCACTTCAGAGACACAACATATGGCATTGTGGAAAGAGCCTAGGATCTAGGGCAAAAAAAAAACAAAAAAAACAAAAAAACCCAGAGTTTACACAACCCTGGTTCCATCATTTACTAGCTATGTGGCTTAAAGTAAGACACCTAACTTTTCTAAGCTTCACTTTCCTAACCTGTAGATGGGAATGATAACACTTAAGTTGCTGTGGAGTTACCAAGTTTATGGAGAGTTCCCTGTAGGACTTCAATAAAAGGCAACCACTATAATTAACCGTGATCACTCTGATGTCACTAGACTGGGTTAATGGATATTATATGTGTAATGGTGTATATGGGGACATTTGGGTGTTTGTTTCAAGACAGAACAAGGAGCACTGGGGTCCCAGGCTGCTTACTGGACTGATCAGGTTCTATTCTTATGAAAAACTGTGCAGCACTTAATGGTGGTGGCAGGTGGGGGGATGTGGGGAGGATTCAATATGTGCTCTGGCCCCTGAGATGAAGAATCAAAATCAGGGGTAATGGCAAGACCTGCCGACAGCAACCCCCTGCTCAAAGGAGAGGCCGCGCTGCCCATCTTAAGAGAAGAACCTTGGGAATTCATTAAGGGAGAGCACAAAGCAGACGTTCATAGATGAAAATCTCAAAAGGTCATTTGGAAAAAGACTGTTTTCTTTACCTTTCGACTGCCACCGACCTTATGTGGCTAATGGTCTCCTATGTGACCACATATTCAAGCCGGGCTAAAAGGGAAGTCACCCAATTAGGCTCAGAATGAAAGGAGGCTGCAGAGTGGCTGGAGACGGTAGAAAAAGCAAAAGGAAACGCAGCGTGGATATTAGGTCAGCTTATTACCTATCTACCTGCTAATCACTTCGCATAAAGCCTCAGCAGGAAATCATTTTGTCTCCAAATGAATCACAGCTTTACAGCAGTTTTATAATAAAGGAAATGAGAATTCTCTCCAAGCTGCATTGTTTGGAGGGAAGAGGCTGCAGGCAGAAACTCAAACAGGGAATCTGCAGGATCTATAACTCTATGACACAAAAATGAACTCAGTGAGTGTGTGTGTGTGTGTACTGATGCATCAAGCAGGAAGGCAGGACGAAAGAAGGAATCAAGAGGCAACCCATCAACACTTTTTCTCTTTGAATTTTAATGGTGCATTCAAATTGCAAAGATTTCAGACTTCTGGAATTTTCTTAGTAAGTCGTAAAGTCAGATAAGATCCTTTCATGAAATGGGAATTACAATTTTACCTGAGTAACTTACTTTGATATAAAGACCTAGAAATTGTATGGTAAACATTGAGTGTACAAAAGTAGAACAGAGTGTATAAGGGCAGAAAACCACAAAACCAGTTTGAGATCCTCAAACCAGGACAGTGGGAGGAAAGAAAGAAGGAAGGAAGAGAGAAAAGGATGGAAGGAGGGAAACAGACCTCTACAACTCCCTGTACGATATCAAAGTTTGGTGCAAAAACAGTACTTGCCACTAGCTGTCCCCCTGGGTATAAATCTCAGCTACACCTCTCCAACCTGTGTAAATATGGGTGAGTTCATTTATGTGTCAACCTGGTTATGCTCATTTGTTAAAGAAAAGATTCTGATAGCCATTTCTTTTTTTTCTTTTTCTTTTGTTTCTTTTTTCTTTTTTTTTTTTTGAGAGAGTCTTGCTCTGTCACCCAGGCTGCAGTGCAGTGGCACGATCTCAGTTCACTACATCCTCTGCCTCCCAGGTTCCAGCGATTCTCCTGCCTCAGCCTCCTGGATGTCTGGGATTACAGGGGTATGCCATCATGCCCGGCTATTTTTGTATTTTTAGTAGAGATGGCGTTTCACTATGTTGACCAGGCTTGTCTCAAACTCCTGACCTCAGGTGATCCCCCCCACCCTTGGCCTCCCAAAGGGCTGGGATTACAGGCGTGAGTCACTGCACCAGGCCCCAGTTCTTAAGATGATTTGCAAGGATACAGGCTCTGGCATGGGATAGGTTCTTGAAACATGTTAATTTTTTAGTTTTTTATTCCTCGTTCTTCCCTCTACAAGAGATACACAAGAGATTAGC